GCTGCAGCCCTGATGGTGTCCAGGGTCTCGCTGGGGACTGCGGGGACCCCCCCACCCACCACAAGCCATGGAACCAATCCGTCTGTCCCCTCTACCCCCCCAACCCGGCCCATGAGGGGCAGCCAGCTGCAAGGGGCACCCACCCTGGGGCGGGTGATGGAGGCAGCGGCCCTATCCTGCCCGCACGGGCACTTGTCCCTTCTCTTGCTGGAGAGCTCTGCATGTCCCCAGGGCGGGGGGCACTATCCCGACCCTGGGTAGGAGCAGTGCCAGGGCAGCACGGCCGGCTGGCAGCTCCGGTTGTGCGGCCCATGAGGGGCAGCCAGCTGCAAGGGGCACCCACCCTGGGGCGGGTGATGGAGGCAGCGGCCCTATCCTGCCCGCACGGGCACTTGTCCCTTCTCTTGCTGGAGAGCTCTGCATGTCCCCAGGGCGGGGGGCACTATCCCGACCCTGGGTAGGAGCAGTGCCAGGGCAGCACGGCCGGCTGGCAGCTCCGGTTGTGCGGCGAGGCCAGGCAGCGGCACTGCTGCGCTCAGGGCCTTCTTGCCATTAGGGACTTCATCGTCGAGAGCATTTGTCCACGTTAATTAAGTCGTGTCTCTTGCCTGGAGAGCAGCGAGACTAGCTTCAACGGTGCGCCCCAGCTCCCCCTTGCTGCTCCGAGAGCCTGGGCTTTAACAGCCTCGTTAGCAGGGTTTTTTCCTCTTTGAATCTAATGAGAGCTTCTGCCGAGCGGCTGGAAAGTTCCGGTCCCGCTAAGGCTCCCGATGTGGGTCATGCAGTTGCTGGTCCCCAGCTCTGCCCTGGCTCCCGGCCCCTCCAGCCCTTTCCTCCCAAGCCACGGGGCTGCCAGGCGCCCCGTCTTTCTCCCTGCCCACGAGCATCTCCCACAGGTCACCCGGGGGCAGTTCCTACTTTTGCCACAAATCCGTTTACCTGCCCCCCCGGCCCTGAATTTTGAAGGGGAGTGCATGAAATATGAAAAAGTAAAATAAATAAATGAGCATATCTGAGGGTTCAGGCAACCGTCTGATTGTGCAGCCTGTCCATCTGTCCGTCCGGACCCCCTGGGTGGGGGTTGGGTTGCTCATCAGCCCTTGGGAGGGGCTGTGCCCCACCGTCCGACACGTGGTGTAGGGCAGGGGTGCTCTGGTGGGAACGTCCCTCTCTGGGGCACGTCTTCAGGCGCTCACCTCTCCTCCTCCACGCAGGTGGCCAACCTGCTGCGGCTCTTCCAGATCCCACAGATCAGCTACGCCTCCACCAGCGCCAAGCTCAGCGACAAGTCCCGCTATGACTACTTCGCCCGCACTGTCCCACCGGACTTCTACCAAGCCAAAGCCATGGCCGAGATCCTCCGCTTCTTCAACTGGACCTACGTCTCCACCGTGGCCTCGGAGGGTGACTACGGGGAGACGGGGATCGAGGCCTTTGAGCAAGAAGCCCGCATGCGCAACATCTGCATCGCCACCTCGGAGAAGGTGGGTCGCTCCATGAACAAGAAGACCTACGATGGGGTGGTCCGGGCTCTGCTGCAGAAACCCAACGCCAGAGTGGTCGTGCTGTTCACCCGAAGTGAAGATGCCCGGGAGCTGCTGGCGGCTGCCCAGAGAGCCAACGTGTCCTTCACGTGGGTGGCCAGCGACGGGTGGGGAGCTCTGGAGAGCGTGGTGGCCGGGAGCGAAGCGGTGGCGGAGGGAGCGATCACCATTGAGCTGGCAGCCTACCCCATTAAGGAGTTTGCCACCTACTTCCTTAACCTCAACCCCTACAATAACAGCCGAAACCCCTGGTTTCGGGAGTTTTGGGAGCAGAAGTTCAAGTGCAGCTTCCACACGCAGGACTGCAGCCGGTATTCCCTCAAGATGGGCAAGTTTGAGCCAGAGTCCAAGATCACGTTTGTGGTCAACGCGGTCTATGCCATGGCTCACTCCCTCCACAACATGCACCAGGCGCTGTGCCCCAATGCCACCAAGCTCTGCGACGCCATGAAGCCCGTCAACGGCAAGAAGTTCTACAAGGACTTTATGCTCAATGTTAATTTTGACGGTGAGTCCGGAGACGGGGTTCGGCTGCTTGAATGGGTATGGAATGGGTGGAGGTGCATGGAGGAGGAAGGAGGCCTGTATTTGACCCAAAGTCCTCCAGCCTGCCCATGCCCAGGGACCCCCTGTGCCGTGGGCTGTGGTTGTCCCAGGATGCCAGCAGCCCACCGTCACCCTTGGGAGGCGACCCAGGCCTTCTGTTCCCAGTGTGCAGAAGCTGGTGACCAACTCCATGCTGGTACAGATGGGTGGGACCAGTCCCACAGGACCCCCTCCATGAACGTGAGTCCTCAGAGACCTCACCTGCAAACACATTTCAGGGATTAAACCGGAGGGAGACCCTTGGTCAGGGACCTACACAGCTGGGGATGAAGTCTAAGTGTGTCCTCCGTGACTTGGCCTGAGCCCAACTACCCAGGTGTCACTGGGAACCAGGAGGGTGCCAAATCCCGCTCTGGGTCCCTCCCCGCAGAGCTGGCTGGGGCTGCTGAGCCCTTGGGCACGCGGGGAGATAGTTCCCCGCCACTGCTTTCCTGCTCCGAACGTGTGCGCAGGCAGCAGCGACGAGCGCGAAGGCAGGGACCAGGTTGGAAGTTCGCCTGTGACCGTGGTGGGATGTGACCCTTTGAAGGAGCCCCCCCCCATGCTGGGAGCTCTCCTGCCCCCCACGGCGGTCACCATCTCCCCTTCTTCTTCCTCCAGCTCCGTTCAGGCCAGCGGACA